ACAGACATTAGACACAGTAGACAGACAGTAGACAGACAGTACAGTGCAGCGCCGACACAACACTCTTTTCTGAACATGAGGTGGGGGTGTGAAATAAGGTGCAAAAATTATTTAAAAGTGGTCTGTGAGTTTACACAGTCAGATGGCATACATGAGCACAGCAGTTTCTGAGGTAGGAAATACACAGTACTTGAGTAAACAGTGTAAACATTGTATTAGCAGCAGAGTTCCAGATAGTGCAAAGAGCATCGAAAGAGGTGTGTGTGTGTGAGTGTGGAGTATGTGTGAGTGTAGAGTATGCGTGTGTGTGTGTGTATGTGAGAGTGTAGAGTATGCGTGTGTGTGTGTGTGAGAGAGAGTGTAGAGTATGCGTGGGGGGGGTCAGTTCAGTTAATGTTAAATGGTTTTGAAAAGGTAACAAAGTAGTTATTGATCAACTTTTGACTTTGAATCATCATTGAATCATCATCAATGTCTTCAACATTCTCCTTGCCTAATAAATATGATTATTATTATTATTATTATTATTATTATTATTGTGTTAACACTTTATTATATTTTAATCATGACTACTTCAAACATCAAAATCTAATTGTTAAAAATAGAAAAGTTTGAGTTTGTCCATTGAAACAGCATGAAAACTATGTTAACCGACAGTTAGTACTTGTACAGAGCAAGAGTCCAACCTACTGAAATACTGAAGATAGATAACATAAGACACTTTGCCATTGCACAGAGTACAACGAAAATGGGCAGCAATCCTAATGGTGCGTACTAGGTATAAAACAAAAATATAAGCTAATATAAAATGCAAGATATTAAAAGGAAAGACAATATAATTTAAAATAATAAAAAAGTAAAATAAAAAAAGAACATAAAAAGAATGTTGCAGCTATAATATTGCACATGAGTGTATTGCACATATGTGGATGGTAGTGTTTATATTTACAAATTGTGCAGTTTCATAAATAAAGTACCAATGAACGTAAACTTCTTTGAATATTCCTTGAATGTGTTTTGGATAATGGCATGGTGTTGGTTGTCCAGGAGAGATCTTCAGCACTGTGTGTGCCCAGGTACCTGAAATCATGTACCCTTTCCACACAGTCCCTGTGGATGTATAATGGGTCTGGTTTTGTGAAGTTCTTTCTGAAGTCTATGATGACTTCTTCAGTTTTTGAGGAGTTCAGGGTGAGGTTATACTCTGAACACCACAGAGCTAGTCCTTAGACTTCATCTTTGTAGACTGTCTCAAATCACGGTTGTGTCATCCGCGAGTTTGATTACAGTGTTGGTGGGATGGGTGGGGGCACAGTCATAGATGTATAGGCCATAGATAAGGGGGCTCAACACATAGCCATGTGGCGTACCAGTGCTGAGTTTGATGGTGGTGAAGAGGTTGGGGCCAAGTCTAATGGTCTGGGTGTGGTTGGACAGGAAATTCTTGATCCAGGTCCTGATGGGTTGGGAAAGTTCTATGTCAGTAAGCATAGTGACCAGTCTGCCTGGGATGAGTGTATTAAAGGCAGAGCCCGACTCCATCCGCACTGAGGCAACCCAAGTACACCTGTACCGAGGCGACCCCAGTCAACCTGTACTGAGGCGGCCTGAGTCCACCCATACCAAGGCGACCCAAGTCCGCCCATACTGAGGCGGCTCAACTCCACCTGTACTGAGGCTGCCCAAGTCCACCTGTACTGAGGCAGCCTGAGCACATGTATTCTTAATGGTAGCAGACTATTGACTGTCCAGTTGTGTTCACCTGTGTTGTACTGTCTACACTGGGACTGGGTTAGTTAGTTTTCTTTTTATGATTCTTTGCATTCTCAGTTATGCTGTCTCTGAATAAAGGTGAACGTTAGGCTACATTTGAGCAATTGCGATGTTTTGATTGAGCTAAATGTGGTTAATAAATAGAGATTTAGACATACCGTCGCTGTCCAAAAAAAACCATGTATCTTCATTTTTGGTGATTTTTAGTTTTCTACATCATTTCAACACATCAGCTGTCCTTTATGTTGTGTAAAAATTTCATGATGAAGGGGCCAATAGAAATGCTCTAAAATCACTTAGAACAAAATCTCTTTACATTGACTTACATTGAAAAGTAAGAGTGTTTTTACCATCTCCTGTAAAGTTCATATTTTGGAGAAACTTATTTTTCATTGGACAGCGACGATATGCAAAATATATTTGGAAGTGAATGAAGTGAGTATGTTTTGTTACCTGGACAGGGGGATGTTTAATATCACAATATATTTGCCCAGATGTGAGACGAGTAGTTTTACAGGAATTGGCTCTGGATTCAAACTGAGGCCAATAGTTGCAGCATGTGGTACTTGGCCGAGATGTAAGCCGAGCATTTGGGCCAGAATTGGGCCTAGATTCAAACAAATTCTGGGCTGATGAAATTCAGGCTTGCATGCTGTATTCAGACCTGATGTGGCCTGACTGATTTTTGCTATCTGGGAGTTTGTTCAATGTTGAAAAGTAAGACATTGAAATAGTGTTGCAATATAAACATTGATTCACTTTTCAAAATCAAAACAAAATTCAATGGTGATTCAACCTTGATCCACAAATGTTGATTCAGCCACAAATAAACATTGAAATGCCGACTGGGGACCATCAAGATAGTGCAAGCAGATGGGGCTCTGAAGTCAGAAGGCAATCATCATGTTATTGAGGAAGACGAAGAAAGGATGGACAGTACAGCTTGTGCTAGATTAAAGACTTCCTGGACGTCTAATTAAGAACAAAATAGAAAGCTGCAAAAAACAAAAGCACAGTTGGAACCTTGAAAGTATGGAGTAAGAATTATGGTAAACTACAGGGAGATTCACTGGAAAGAGGCCCCGAATATTCTGTTGTAACTCCCTTTAGGATGAAGCAATCTGAACCAAAAAATACGCTACATACCTTGACATATGTGTAATCAATTGTATGACCTGCGATGCTGGAGGTGATCTCTGTTTTCTGCCAGACACATGAAGGGGTACGGGGGTATGCACCTGGAAGTTGAAAACGGATGTTTGCTGACATGAGTTTTGGTGAGTCAACCCCAAATCCAGCATATTTTTCAGGTTGTTAAACCATTACACTCAAATTTACACATACTCCTACCAGACAGGAGTTCAGTGTCATACAGATATGCCAAATTATAAAACTATTATAGAAATTTGCATGCCCTCATTTTGAATAAGGTTGATTGTGATTGAAAACTCCTGTGAATGTTCATTCTGATAAATATTAGAATGACAAACTTGTCTAGCATACTAGCAGCATGGCACGTTAACTAACCTTGATTAAGGTATGCTAACATCAGCTCTGTGAAATGAGCAGCATTTCAGCAGCTAAATAGGCTATTAGCAGTTTTGTAAGAGACAGATTATGGCTTGCATATGCAATACAAATATTGGCACCCCTGGTAAACATGAGTAAAACTTTATTGCTTATGCTTATGATGTTATATATCAAAATATTCACAACATCTAACCTTTATTTGAAATACAATGATTGAAAGAATAAACCTAAATCTTACAATAGAATTCTCAAGCCTATGTGTGCCACAATTGTTGGCACACCTTTATATAATACTTTGTGCAGCATCCCTTTACAAGGAAAACAGCTCTGACTCCTCTCCTATTATGCTTAATGACACTGAAGAATACATAGCAAAGATCTGAGACCATTCCTCCATACAGAACCTCTCCACATCACAGATCCACCACTATACTTCACAATGGGGATGAGGTACTTTTCTGTGTGGCTATATCTGTGTCCACGCCAAACTCACCTCTGATGTTTGTTTCTAGAAACCTCTATTTTGGTCTCATCAGACCATAGAACACAGTCCTACTGAAAGTACTTTTAAAGGCTGACAAACTGTAGGCACTTGATTTTGTTGGTTCTTGACAGCAGAGGCTTTCTTCTGGCACACCCCCCAAACAACTTGTGGTTATACAGGTGGTGTTTGATTGTAGTTTGGGAGACATTGTGACCCCAATACCTAACTAATGTCTACAATTCCCCAGCTGTGATCCTTGGAGATCCTTTGGCCACCCAAGCCACCCTCCTCACTGTGTGCGGTAAGTATGCATTATATATATATTTATTTTATATATATATATATATATATATATATATATATATATATATATATATATATATACACATATATACACACATCCTCTTGCAGATTCTTAACATCACAAGTTGCTTTAAACTTCTTCATTTTTGCCCTGATAGTGAAAATGGGCATTTTCTGTTTAACTCTTTCTATATAGTCATTTCCTAATTTATACAGCTCAACAACTTTTTGTCACAAATCATCACTGTATTCTCTGGTCTTTCTCATTGTGATGGATGACTAAAGGAATTTGGCCTCTGTGTCACCTCATATTTATACCCTAGTGAAACTGGAAGTCATGGCTGAGCATTTAATTAATCCTAATAAAGCAGGTGAACTTTAAAACCTAAAATATGAATGGGAATATACTCCGGTCAGATTTTACTCATATGAATTTCTATTCTAGGGGGGCCAACAACTGTGGCACACAGATTTGAGAGGAACATTTATATAGTCAGCATTTTGGAGATAAATGAGGGGAAGACGGTGTCATGTGGATTTAATGGAAACATGAGCACAGCTTTTTATGCACAAAAGCAGCCAATAGGATTACTTAAATGGTTCTTCCAATCTGAATGTGGCACAATCATCAACCAGCTCATTGAGGAATAAACACCAGCATGTTAAAGTTATATTGGTCATTATTGCCATTGTGTTCAAAGCAAGCGGTTTATATATAGTTTTATTTATTATCAACTAGCAAGAATTACTGACCATAGTTTTTTCTCTGTTTTTGGTCCATGGCATTGGAATTCAAGATTTGCCCCACCCACAAATTTATCACATTCATTCAAAACAGCAGTCCTGGAATACATTGTTAAAATATTTGCATATTATTTCCAATCACTTTATAATATTTACGGTCTTTGTTCATTTTTCTTCCTTTATTTGTTGCTTTTTCAAGTCTAGTTAACTATGGTGTTTTAACTTGTGCTTGCATCATACAACTTACTTCCTTGATTCAGACACTTCCTTACACAATGGCGGTGAAAACGGAGCTGATCTTTGTTCTCTTCAACTTGGTCTCACTTACAGGTAAGAAAACATTCTAAACTTGATTACTGCCTGTCACATTATAGAGGTTCAGCTGTACTATATCCAGTAATCCTCTTAATCATTTTTAATGTCATGGATGAAGCAATCATGGTCTATCATTTACCCTTGCTGCCGTCATGGAGGTATTATATATATATATATATATATATATATTATGAAGTTAGTAGGGCCTAGTTTGTTGTAGTAAACAGTATTAAAAGTCAAAGGCTTTATTACAAAAGCTGAAGAATGTTTTTCTTCATAATTGAACTTTTTACACTGTAATTTCTGTAAACGCTTGAAATGGAAAGCTTACTAAATTACCTAACTATATATCATATAAAGCTCAAGGCGTATTAAGGTAATATTGACAAATTTAAAACTGTCCTCCCTCAACATCGACAACAGCTTCTCGAACTTGAGTTATGTCAAGGGTGTAAACGGGAAATCACGTGAGGTTCCCGCCACCCTTTTCAAACATATCAGGCACATGGGGGCTTTTACAGTTTGACCCTTAAGTTGTATGACACTTAGGTCATGAAACTGAGATCAGGCAGGTTTGGTCATAAGATTCTCATAGACTCTTGTAATGACCAGTTAAGGGGTTTCTCAGTGCCTTACAATTACCTAAACATAGTTGATCAGCAAAGACATGTTCATGAACTTTAATGGAGCAATGACACTAATGTAGCTAATAAGTAATGAAGGCTTCAATCCTTCTGGTTGACACAGCTACAATCTATTATATCATCCTTGTATCTTCAGTGCAACACTAAAGAAGCAAGCTTAAGACACCAAACTTGTTTTGGCCAATCAATTATGTTTGGAATAAGGGGAAAACTCTGTAGATTAGATTTTTGGTAAACCATGCCTTTAAAGGGGCATTCAGGCCTATATTGTGGATTTTATCATGACAAATAAATCACTCTAGTCTGATTTATTTGTCATGATAAAATCCACAATATATTATAGCATGGGGGATTTCTCCAAAGAACTCAGACAGGTACAAGATCTGCAGCCAGTTGCACCAGCTGAATGTAAGTTTGATCGTAGCCTAGTTTGAACGTAAACTGTCACTACATTCAAGTTTACGAGCTATCAGAATTTAACCAGTTGCACCAATTAAAGCTACGTTGAAACTATGTTAAGTTATTACTTAAAATTTACACATAATCCTATTTTATGTTCGGAAATGAGATGTGTTCCAAAACCTGGTGGGCAACACTGTTCAAGTACACAAGTGCAACTGGCTGCTGGTCCATAGCTCTGCTTTTTTGTGTAACTCAGAAACGGCATACAAAAAAACGGGAAAAGATGTCGCTAAGGCTCAGGCTAGCCCATGTTGTTTGCAGGCCAGGCTCACTCTGTTAGCTCGCTAGGCTACTAAAGCTTTGCTACCATATGCAAAGTAATGCCCTTCAAAATAAGAGTCCTGACAACAAAAGAATAGCTAAACTAAACCAAACATACGCATGCTCTGACACCACAGTATTATCCCTTTGTTGATTAATGTTCTGTCATCACTGTACTCAGCATGCATTGTGCAAATATGTTATTCAACCATTGGGAATCTGCCCATGGTGATGAATATGCGCTGATGTAGTAGCTAATAAATGTACATGATATTTGGCTTCCTAGCAGTAACATTAGCCATCTGACTTCCTTCTGTATTAGCCTACCAGCAGAAAAACAGACACTTCAAGCCATCTGCCATCATGTATCCACCCTAAATTGTTTGTAGTTTTTCAAAAGTTACTCCCACCTTCAAGATACATCATAAGAAGAGGGTTTACCTTGTCCTCAATTTGGACAATGTTGCTCGCAGGACGATTGTGGCACCGGCGTAGGACTGAGTATGCATGTTTACAATAGTTGTAGTCATGGTTACATTTTTCATTTTGACCAGAGTGCCCCTTTAAATCTGTGACACCTCAATTGTTTGCAATTGGACTGAAAATGAAATGACCTTTACTTCTTAAACTTATAACCAGCTGTATTTATGAAATGACTTTTGCCCTCACATTTAGAAATGATAAGCTTATGCTAACAATATAGAAAGAGTCATGGACCCCCACATCTTAACAATAATTGCAGGCACACTGTTACATTGTTTACGAGTTTACTCAGACAATTAACAAATATTTCTTACACTTAGCTCTGTGTTGCAAGCTATCCAGATATTCAGATTCAGATTCTCACTGTTTTGGTTATGTGTTCTCCAGCATCTATTGCACATTGTTCACTTTTGTTATGGAGAGAGATGTGAGCTGCACATGCATGGATGGTACTTCATAGTGGGGTAGCTTGAATGAGTCTACAGCCTGAAAAGGAAGAAGGGCAGGGTGGGGCCATGCTAGATGCTTGAGTGGCTAGATGAAGTTGTGTATAGAGTACAGTTTCCCTCTGCAGGCACAAAATGCTGCTCCCCCATGAGTTTTCTTGGTTTTCATCTTTCAGTACCAAGGGAGTCCCCTACCCCAGTATGATTCAGGAGAAGGGGCTGGCCCTCAGTTCGGTTTAAAGACTTTGTGCTTCCTTGGTGGTGAGGATTTATGTTAGGGGAGGGTGGGGGTAGTGTAGTGTGTTCAGTAAATGTTTTGGCTTGATAGTTTTGGGTAACGTGTTCTCCAGCATCTATTGCACTTGGTTCATTTTTGCTATGGACGCTGATTGGAGAGGGGGGGGCTAAGAACCAGCACGGGGATGTGTGCGCATGTGTGTGTGAAGAGAGAGAAAGACGTGAGCTGGGTAGATAACAAGCTGTTAGAGAGAAAAAGAGAAACTTTGTTGAATGCAATTCAGTTTTGATTATCCATTTATATAAACACACAATTAAAAACTTTTAGTTAATCAATTAAAAACTATTACAATTCTGCAGTAAACTACTGTTTTCCTTAAATACAGCAGAGTGCTGTGAAAAGAGTGCATTTTTGGTTATACACGTCCCGCTTCTTGTCAAAGAGGTTGGATTTTACAGTAAATAGCTGTTATTTCCAAAGCATATTGGGAAAGTGAGTGTTAATCAGTGCAGTCAGGTGGAGCCTGTCCTGTAAATATCGTAGCACTTGGGAAAAGCATTCTGTCATTCCTTGCAGTTGTTACTGTCATCCACAGATTCTTTCACATTAGTTTTTGTTTGTTTGTTTGAACGTTATTCTTACTCCAAAGGTGAGACTGAGTGCATTTTATGCATGTTACATATCTTGTTATTCCAACCATCATGGTCATTTGTTTTAGTTAACTAGCTCATCCTGAAACTGTCACACTGAAAAAGACATTGTATTACTTGCAGTTTCACAAGTTTAAAACTTATTTTAAAAAGTGTACGTAACTACTATAATTTATTGTTTATAAGGTTTTATTGCCAGTAACACTTTGCAGTAATAATAATAATTAATTTTTATTTACAGAGCACTTTTCATTCTGGTGGCAGCTCAAAGTGCTTTACAGACAGGTGATAATGTTTTACAGTAACAGACAAGACAATAACAAAAGTTTAAAGGAAAAACCAAAGAGATGTTTTAATTAAATGCTATGTTAAAGAGATACATTTTCAAATGTTTCTTAAAAGTGAGCACTGAGCTTGTCTGTCTAATAAAAGGTGGAAGTTCCACAGCTTAGAGGCAGATTAACTGAACGAGGCCTCTCCATGTTTACAGAAGCTATTTGTAGAAGGTCAGCATCATCAGATCTAAGATCACATGCTGGAACATAAACAGACAGACATTCTGTGATGGAAGTGGAGCTTCAACATCATTTACAGCCTTAAAAACCAGTAGGAGAACTTTAAAATCTATCCTGAAAGATACAGGTACCATGTGCAGTTCTGTCAAAATGGGAGTGATCGCTCTTTTTTTTGTTTGTTTTTGGCGCGCTGCTGCATTTTGTACAAGTTGTAAAGGATGTATTAGTTTCTTAGGAAGTCCAGTAAGACGAGCATTACAGTGATCAACTCTAATTGTAACAAATGCATGAACAAGTTTCTCTGCATCGCTCTGAGACAGAAAAGATATTTCAACAATATCAGCAATATTTCTATGAAATGGTGAAAATCTACTGTGGTGATTGTGTTTTACATGCGGGTTTAATCAAAGCTCAGAGTCCAAGATCACACCCAGGTTTCATACTTCAGGTTTAGTATACAAAGCTAAAGAACTGAGCTTCTCATAAAGCATTTTTCTCTGAGTTTTAATATCACGTATCAGTATTTCAGTTTTTTCATTATTAAGGTGGAAAAAAAATTTGACATCCACTGAGGTTGTAGTACTGGGTACTGTTTCATAGTTAATAGGTAACTATTCAGGAACTTTACAGGAAGAAGTTCATATGCTCTATAATTATTTACTGAAATGGGTATCCTCAGAGGAAGTGTGAGGCACCACACCACACTATACTGAATTGTGACACTGATGTGCTTGTTTTGATCAGAAACCTTAAACGGCTAACACACATCTTCATATTTGTCAGTGTGAACCAATTTGCACATCAGCCTGCAAATGAGACAACTGCTAAAATACTACAGTATTCAGTAGACCAGTCTGCTTGCTTCTTATCTTGTGTCCGTGTGCATATAGAAATATACATACACACCTCTGCCGAGCCTCGGTTTCCTTTGCTGTGTTCCCCAACCAGCTGTCATGCTCTAAGCTGTCTGGGAGCAGACAGGTGTTGTGCTTGGTACCCTCTTCCTCCAGACTATGTCTTCTTCATCATCCACCTTCAAGTTCATTGATGCACTGTTCAATTTCTTCAAACTCGGTGACCACCTCCCATTTCCAACACCAATGTAGTGTTGATGAAGATCATGTGGAAAACGTGCATACAGGCAAATGCTCTTTCATTGAATAGGCACTTCAACAGCGAGTCTTTAAAAAGAACTGTGAATTTCTTAATTCATAATGCATGATTTATAGTAATAACTAATACTATACCTTTATCACATTAGGTAAGAGTCGATAGTAAGTAATATATGGCCTGAAAATATGATTAATTATTATTAT